CCCATTTTGAATAATATTGCATGAGTTCCTTGTTTTTCAATGCAGCATAGTATTCCATTGTGTGAATATACCACAGCTTCTCTATCCATTCGTTTGTTGGTGAGCACATAGGTTGTTTCCAACTCCTTGCTATTGTGAACAAAGCCCGATAAACATGGGTTTGCATATATCTGCTTGGGTGGCAGTTAAGGTCTCTTTGGGGTATATTCTCAGTAGTGGAATTGCTGGGTCAAATGGTATTTCTATTTGCAAATTTTTTAGAAAGCGCCACACTGCCTTCTACAGTGTTTGTACCATTTTACACTTCCACCAACAGTGATTAAGGGTTCTAGTTTCTCCACAACCTCACCAGCATTTCATGTTTGTTGTTCTGTTAAATTTTGTTATTCTTACTGGGATGAGATGATATCTCATAGTTGTTTTGATTTGCATCTCTTATAGGTAGGGATTTTGAACATTGCTTCATGTGCTTGTTGGCCATCTGAATGTCTTCTATGGTTAAGTGTCTGTTCATATCCTGTGCCCATTTTTCAGTTGGATTGTTTACCTTTAACTTGTTGTGGTCCTGAGTATTTTATAAATTCTAGATATAAGTCCCTTATCTGACATGTCATTACCAAATACTTTATCCCAGTCTGTGGTTTCCCTTTTTACCCTGTTGGAGAAGTTTTTGGATGTGCATAGGGATTTGATTCTTAGAAGGTCCCATTCATCTATCTTATCTTCTCCTGGTTGTAGATTTTTCAAGATACTTGAAAGACTGTTTATGTTGTGGATTAGGACTTCTAGAGTTCTTCCAAGCTTTTCTTTAATGAAGTTTATAGTCCTTGGTTTTGTAATTATTTACTAAGACTAATACTCCAGTATGGGAAAATTTCTCTTCCAAAAAAGTCTTGTCTATAAATCTGAAGAGCATATGGAAACTCTTTATGCATCCACATGACGTGAGGCTTTCTGGCCACTAGATCTCCCAATGTACTAACTACGTAACATAATTTGGGAAGTTAGTAGTTTCTGTGTTAATACCAACAATAACAAAAAAAGCCCAAGAAGTATTTTCTTTTAGTGGAAGGCTGCTACTACAATGCTAAGCTGTCTGGTCTCTATTAATTAAGTCTCTTTCTGCTGTGTTTTGTGATATCCATAGAGTATGCCCAGCCACTGGTGGGAGGAATTGTTGGCACACTTCATCAGAGATCTACCTTTAAACCAGAAGAAGGAAAAGAAGCAGGCTATGCTGACCTGGACCCATACAACTCACCTGTGCAGGAGGTTTACCATGCCTACGCCGAACCACTCCCCATTACTGGTCCTGAGTATGCCACCCCGATCGTCATGGATATGTCAGGACACCCCACAGCCTCAGTTGGTCTGCCCTCAACATCCACTTTCAAAGCCACAGGGAACCAGCCTCCTCCTTTAGTGGGAACTTACAACACCCTTCTCTCCAGGACGGACAGTTGCTCCTCTGCCAGGGCCCAGTATGACACCCCAAAAGGTGGAAAGTCAGGTCCAGGTGCTCTGGATGAATCGGTGTACCAGGTGCCACAGAGTACGCATGAAGTATCAGGAACAAGGAGGGAGGACGAAGGTGATGGTTGAAGGTGATGCTGCTTTTCACAATGCATCGTTTTAAAGCACATGGCTTGTTTTTGCGTTAGTGGTAGTGATATATAGAATGTATTATGTTATCAGTCACTGAAGAGGTTGAGGAAAATGTGATAACTAAGGTACAGGAAACTACTAATCTTGCCATTCTGCTTTGAAGGTCTGTCTAACTGCAGCACAGTTACTGCTTGCCTGTTAAATTCCAAACATCCTGTTTGTTACTACTGTAAAGCATTATTTTTAATACAGAAAAGGCTGTCTGCAGTGCACTTCAAATTCAGATTAAGAATCACTAGAGAACATATTTATTACCAGCGCTGCAGGTACATTCTGAACTCAAGAGATGGCTTCATGGCTGTCTGGCAGTAATGCATGGTACTGTTCTTGAATTTTCTAATGGCTTGAGATTCTGCTTTCTTTGTGAAAGATGGTACTATCCTGATTTTCCCCCCCTCTTTTCTATTTATCAGTTGCTTTCCAGATTTATTTTTTTAGAAAAGTCTAATTGACATCGCCATTGTTGGCAGTCAAACGAAGATCTCCATCCTTTAATAGGAAGATCCATAGCTGGGAACCTCTGACTTGCAATGAGCAGGGTGACTGATTTTTCACTGCTTGACACTCTAAGAGCTTTCGCACGTCATGGTACATGGTCTAGTCTCATTCCTGCTTGTTCCACCTGGGGCTCTTGGTGGCCAGAATTGTTCTTGTGTTTTCTATTAGTTTTGTGGTTTTGATGTTTTTGTCAACTTAACCAGCTTCATAAATTCAGATCCTCTAAAAGGAACCTGCAGTTCAGAACTATCCATTGGTGCTCCTGCAAAGATCATGGCCTTGGAAACCCTACAGGACAGTTCTGTTCTGTCCCACAGAGCCACAAAAAGTCAGAATGAAATAAACAGCAATGCCTTTGGATAAAAAGCAACTCTTCTAAGTGAAAACAAATACTTTAACCTAGATAAATTATAAAGATCTTCTCTCTCCACACACACTCACAACTTTATTTGCCATGGAAAAATTTTCCTAGAAGAATTATAGAAAAGTTAAATACGTGACTGCTGTAAACATGACCAACCCATGTTTATCGCAAAAAAAAGCAAAATCATTCACTTCAGAAATAATACAAATTACCTGAAAAGAATAAGAACAGCCAGAGCTTGCCTTCTTAGGTTTTATATATAAAAATGAGTCTCAAAGTTACTTTTAACTTTCAGTTGGTTGACTATAATACATTTAAATTTCTGTTTTATATAGTAAACTACCATAACTTTACCCTACTTCCGTTTGATAAGAGGCACAAGCCCTAGAAACCATACCTAGAACAGAGATAGTATAGCATCCCAGCAAAAGGACAGCATCCTGTTAGTCGTGCCTTGTGTTTGGTACGCCCTACCAATCTCTGTCAAAATTCAGGATCTGGTTCTGAAGTAGTTTTAAATAGGGTAAAATAGAAATAATACGTAATTTATCATTACATTTAAAAAAAAAGAGCTTGGATGGCAGATTTTTAATGTGTTGTGCTGTGTGAAAGATTAGCAGTGAAAACTGGGCTGCCTCTTCTCCTTAAGACTTGCAGCTGCTGGAGCCTAATAGTGACTGCGAGTCAGAATTGACTTGATGGCATTAGTGGGTAGGTATGGTGTAAAAAAATTGAGCCTCTTGGTAGTGAAGTCGTTAACTGCTTGCGTGCTGTTTGAAAGGATGGCAGTTCAAATACATTTAGTGGCTCCACAGGAGAAAGACTTGGAAATTTACTTCTATAAAGATAAGAGCCTAGAAAACCCTACCTAGTAGCTTTCCTCTGTCATAGAGGTCATTGAACTCAAGTTGAATATCGGCTTCACTGTACTCAAAACAACAACACAAGGTAAAAGCCATTTTTAAAAATGCCTTGAGACTGGCAAGATGACTTAAAAAATCAGCCACATGATAAAAACACGTAAGCTCAACAACTTCTTTTAATAATACCTTAGTTTGTCTACATACATGTTAATATAGCTCTTCCTGTATGATTCTAATCACTTCTGCAGATCAAATTATGATATTGTCAGAACTCACAAAATTTTAATAAAGGTGCACAATATTCATGTTGCTTGCTTGCTTGCACGCACGGTATGAGTATTCTAAAACACTTCTTCCAAAATAGAGCCGTTTATTTTTATGATCTCCCCTCTGAGCCTTCTGTTGCTTTGCTTTTCATTTGCTTCTCCTTTTCCAGACAGAATTATAGGCACAATTTTATTCATGGAAGAATCAGTACATACTTTGTTTCAAATTACTTGAAGCAAAAAAAGCACAGATGTTGAACTTTAAAACACCCATTAATATGTAAAGCACATGTATTAATGCAGGCATTCCCTTTTCAGGTGAGACAATGAAAAGGGTGCTTTATTTTTTCTTAATTATCCTTACGGCACAGAGAATATACTTTTGTTCAAATCAAATTCCTTTTTGAAGCTTTAAGAAAGATGTTCTCATAACTACATAACTACTTCATTTCTTTTTTCTAAAAAAATTGCTTGCTACTTTTGTCTGGTATGAGCACCTGATTGTTTTTGTCCTTCTGCACCTCCCTTCTTGGGATTGTTTTGGTGTTCTGATGAGAAGACAATTGCTTGCTCACTTGATGCATACTTTAAACTTTGATTCATATTGCCTATGCTGTCCTTGAACTACCAATGATTTTTTTTATAAAATATTTAGTTTGAGCTACTTTTATATATTTTCCAGTCGACGAGCTGAGCCTGATTAAAAGGGTTTTCCTGTTTTTGTACTTTTAATTCATTTGTTTTATTTTAAAAGTTGTTTTGTGGAGTTGACTTTGTTTTGGGGAGTGGCTAGCAAAGTTTATGTATCTGTTATATACACAGCTATTGGAGACAATCGACAACTGAAAATGTGAAAGTAACCATTTTTACAAAATTCCCTTGGATTCTTCTTTTTTGCTTGAAATCCTTAAAAGACATACGTCACTGTGGTTTATCCGATTAATTTTGTTTTCTTGTTATTACAGATAGAGAAATAGAATCAGACAGTGGCAACAGCAAGTGTGTGGCCATTACAGGTTTCATAAAATTACACTGACTTTGCTGTTACTTGTTCCTGTAAACCGGCACAGTTAGAGATAAGATTTTGAAAATTTTGATTTCTATTTTATTAAAGGCTGTAAATCTAAAGTGATTCTATTTTATGTGCAGGGTGTACTCCAGTTATTTAAGTTCACATTTCACTGTTTGCACTTTGCATTTAACTATGGGTTTATTCACTGATGAAAATGGTTTTAATAGAGAATTTATACAGAAATTGAAATTATGATATTATGTATACATACATATCCTATACTCTTCCCTCATTTCAGGATGGAAGTAGAATATGAACTCATCTAAGATGAAGGTGGTCACAATGCAATGGAAAGTGTTAGCATTTTAATTTTTTGGTCTTAAACTCCACTTTGGAACCTGGAAAGCAAGAAGGCTATACAAACAACATATCTGATAAATGCAGTTAGAAGTAACCAATAGCGTATGTGGGGCAATGGAAGCTTTTCAAACCCTTAGGAAAATAATCATTGAAGCTCCACCTAAAAAATAATAGTTCCTTATTAGCTCTGCCTTTCAGTTCTGAACTTGAAGTCCCTAAACTGCAAAATGTAAATAAGAGTTGGATTGTAATTAAAATATTTTTTAGGTCAACCCTAGTATCAATTCTTATTTACTCCAACTCGTAACTAGTATTTCTCTCTTCCTTTCCTCTTTATTCTTCTCTTTCATTTTTTCTTTTTTCTCCTGGCATTGAGACAGGTGGAAACGAAAACATTTCTTGAAATATGTATTGGAAATAGAATGGCTTGCGTGTCAGTGGTATTCCTCCAGAATGTACTTTTCTTACCTCGGCATGTACTGTATTCATTCAGTATTTGTATATTTTGTTAGAGTTTAGATTGTATAAATAGCGAGAGTTTTAATATGTTTCATGTGTTTAATTGTATATGTGTGTCTTGCTCAAATTATTTGGCTTAAATAAAACAATCCTGAGGTTTGTAGCCATTTTTTCTCATAGTACACAAACTCCACAGATTCCTCAGTTTGGACATATCAGAAATTTTATGGTCTGGACGATAGTTGCTTACTATAATACCACTTTAAAACAATTTAAAAGTTTTTTACTTTGACATTTAGTTTTTCTGTAGTCTGCACCATCCTTTTTGAAGCCCAGTTTGCTTTGTATCAATCTGAACTTCAGTAGCCCATCTTCAACTACAAGGGAATGATTAAGTGAACCCATGTCTAGTACCTGCCCTTTCTATAAAATAATATAAAAAAATCAGATGAAACCATGCATGATGTTGGGCTGCTATTAGCACTACATAATCCATAAACACTAATGTGTGGGCTTGCGTACTTGAAACATTAGTTACTCCCTTTACATTGCTTTTTTCTATATTTAAATATTCGTTATTTCTTCCCTCTTCCATAGTTTCACCCATCACATACTCTTTGGAGGGGGGAGGGATAGTTTGGTGGTCAGTACCATTGGTGATGTCCTATAATGAGTTTTTATTATTCACTCTTTCTTTGACTCCTGCCTCATGTGATGACTTTTGATGCCACCCTTATAATTGCTACTGTTCTCTTCCTTTGTCCTTCCTCCCACTTTTGTCCCCAAATATCCCTTAGTTATATTTATTTAGGTATATTTAGGAAGGGGAGACTGACTCACCATTATCTGTAGAACTTGTTTGTATTCTAAAGGATTCCAGTACATACTAAGAAGGTTTCTATGCTGAAAGAAGGTAGCTGTGTAAGTTTTCCACTTGAAGATATGACTGAATCATAAGAAGAATTGAGAGAGACATCTCATGAAAGTCCCATTTAAATCCATAAAACAGCCTGTCGTTTCTTGGTCTTTACCTAGTTGGATATCTTCCTCTCTTAATTTAATTCAGTTATTACATTTACATTTCAGAAAGTTAATGAATAAATTAAGATAATACATAATAATTTTTGAGCCTAGCTTAGTTCTACTTACTTGTATACTGGTGGGTATGGTTTTTTTTAAGTTTGAAACGATAAAAAGCAGCCAGACTTCTGTAATTGCATTTCTGTAATATTTCATTATTTATGGATTCAGAACTTTATAGGTGGCTTACTTCCTGTAACTTGGGATTTTCTTTAAAAAGGCATTTTCACTCTGCCAAATAGTTCATGACAATATTTTCATTTAATTAATTAGCAAAAAGAGGCTTAATGAAACTAGTATGAACTTATGTTTTTATAGCTGTAATCAAGATTGATTTAGAATTCAAATAAGTAAGAATTAAACATCTGTCTAAAAATAGGGGTGAAGAAATTCCAGGTTGCTGATCAAGGCACACCCGTACGCCAGTTTCCTTTGATAGAGCATGTATCCTAGTCACGTAACTCTCTCTCAAAATGTAAAGTTCTCCTAAGGTTGGTTATAGGGAACTGAGTCTCCATAATTATTACACTGGAAATGACACTGTTTCAAATATGATATAAAAGACATTTTTAAAACATACCAGAAAATTAAGCTTATTTTAAAAACACAATGGAATCAAAACTTTTAATTTTCCCCCCTAATAACTAAACTTTTCTTGGTTTCCATAAATTAAATATATTCACAGAAATTATACTGGTGGTTATAAATCACCAGGCAGCAACAAACTTAATATACATAGTCTTTGACAAGTATAGTCAACATATTTAAAAATAAACTAAAAATTGCAGTATAAAAATAAAACTAATACTGGTAGCATCATCTTCTGCAATGTAGGGTCACTCTTGAGTCAAATTGATCACATAGTTCTTCTCCATAATGTCCTTCAAAAAGAGCTGCTCTGCGGTCACATTGTGATATGCATTCTAAAGAAGAAAAACTAAAATTGATCATTTTTGCCAATCTTATAATACTGACAATAGCAACAATATGCTACACAGCTAAAAAAGTTTGTGAAGAATATACTAGGCTTTTAATGCTATGAGTAGCATGGACTTTAAATTTTGTTATTTTTATAACAAATTTTGTTACTTTTCTTTTTATTATGCAATGTGCTTCACACATTCCTTCATTCACATTGTGTTTGATATGATCATTCCCATACATTGCATTTTATAAAACCAATCACCATTAATTTATGCCCACTATCACTTCTTTTGAGGTCCCCTCTTGGTCTTTCCTAATTTCTTCAACCCCTCCATTGACCCACCAAACTCTGAGACCGCGTGATTTCTGCCTATCTCCACGTTCTGCCCATAACTATAATTTCCCTTGCTCATTGTGTGCCCAATCTTTCTCCAAAGCCCCGACTCTTTTAACTTAAACCAGCACACAGGTAAGGCTTGTACCCTGCATCCGCGCTTTTCACCTCATACTTAATACATCTTCACGCTTCACATTCTCACCCCTCACATTACATCCACAAAATCATGGTATAAATCTAGAGACCAAACCTTTACGTTAGAGTGGGTTAACACTATGCTAAAAGGACCTTTGCATTTGAGTCCTAGTTCTAGCACTTAGTCTCTCTATAACCCTTATCAAATTATCAAAATCAGTTTCTTCATTACCTAAATGTGGATTACCTTACTCATCAAAGACATGGTGGTATTCCCATAGTAGTGCAAAGGACTCCTGAGGTCAGAAAAATTGTATTTAAAACCAGCTATATGGACTTCGTGACATATATGAAATGCCAATGTGATGGCAATAATTCCTGTTGTTGGGTGTTTAGGTTTCTGGAAAAAAAGTAAAAATCCAAGAAAATGTTTAAAAACCAAATATTTGAGGGGAATAATGTTCAATAAAAACTTCTTTATATGCTAGGCTGCTCAAGCCTTTATATGCTCACAATGTATAGTAAATATATGTACCATCAACTAAAAAGAATAGAAAGTAGAACTGAAATATTAGAGTCTAATGTATTAGAAGGGCCAATTAGGAGTTTATTCCAACTTGAAAACAATGAGTGAAAGAGTTACTATGTACCTTAAAAGAAAACAACTGAAAATGCCAAGAGAAAAACAATATGCTACGTGGTTGGTTGTATTGTGGAATTAGCCCTGGGAGTGCTTGTGTAGTGCAGTTAAATAGCTAACTAAAAGGTTGGAGGTTCAAGGCCACGCAGAGGTGCCATAGGAAAAATGGGTTGACATTCTCCTCCCCAAAAGAAACCAGCCATTGAAAACTGGAGCAGAGTTCTACTCTGATACACGTGGTGTCACAATGACTTGACTAATTAGCCTCAGAAATGACTATCAGATGAAACAATATTGTAAAGTCCCAGGAAAAGAATACTAAGTAACTTAACAACAACAAAACCCCTGCTGAATCAAGCTTCTTGTGGAAAATTCAAAGCCTGGGAATTCTGAACATGTGTATAAAATGTAAAGAATTCCATTCACTAATGCATAGAACCCTGGCCAAAGATTTCATGTAAGTTAGCCCCCTTAGAATAATTGCTTTAATGTCCTGATAAGTAATTTAAAATAACTAGGAAGTGACTGATCAAGACAAAATGTAATAGGATCTGACTCAAAAATTAAGGTTTCAATCTTAACAAGATTATTAGTCATTAAAAAATGGAAGAAAACTCAAGCACATATATCTATTTCTGAAAACCACTGGACTAAATATTTGTCAGGAAGGTCTTGACGTTCACAGTTATAATTCTCCCCAAGATGGCTTTCAAAGGTGAACCAAAATTTATCTTAAACATTTTATATAATCAAGGACATTTCCTTTTAATTAAATGTATCTTATAAGTTCCATTAAATTAGTAATTCCATTACTGTTATTTTCAGAATAAAATGAATTCTTAAGAACAAATTTGAAAGCACCAAAGCATTTAGCATAAACTTGCCTTTAAGCCAAAGTACTGCTGTGGGTCTATTTGAGGCCTTTATTATATGCCAAAGAAGGAAATTGATAGCCTCCTTCCTTAAAATGACAAATTAACTCTTGTTATTTGAAAACCAATGATCAGAAAAGAGCGACATCTTCCCTCTTATCTGGGTTTTCCCAGTGTTCACCTTTTTTGCAGTGGGTAGGATGTGCATGTTCCAGCTGACATGTAGTTAACTTTTCACTACTATATTTTACCCCATCTTTTTTTCTACAGCTTTGCTTCTTCGGTTATCCACTTTCTCCTCCCTTATCATCAGTATTGTCCTCTATTGATATCACTCCTTTCACTATGCACATCATCTATCTTTTAAAAGAAAAACTATTTGGAAAAGAGGAGGTAAAATTATCTCTGTATGCAGATGATATGTTAGTATACTTAGAAAACCCTAAAGACTCAGCAAGAAAACTATTGGACATGGTTGACCAATTCAGCAAAGTAGCAGGATACAAGATCAACATA